GCTGAGCCTTCTCTCCAGCTCTGTGACATGACTTTTAAAAAGGAGAGGAAAAAAGGAAAGATATATCTTCCTAACAATAGCTGTGTGCTACTATGTTAGTTTGGAAAGGACAGAGGGAATGGTTCTGTATGTGTCTGCAGAGTGTTTAATTTAGAACCCAGAGAGAATATCACGTACTTAATCTGCAGAAACAAAAAGCCATTTTCTTCTGGCTTAAACTTCACAAAGTGATATGAAAGAGGAAGAACAAAAACTTGTATTCTCCCTACCCCCATCTTGTTAAAACTGTAACATAATCATTTTTTCTCTCTTTTCTTAAATTTATTTTTAGATGTATGGGTGTTTTGCCTGCATGTATGTCTGCACCATGTGCAGTGCCCACAGAGGCCAGAAGTCAGGTCCCCTGTGCCTGGCATTACAGTTGTGAGCTGCCATGTGGGTGCTGGGATTCAAACGGATTCCTCTCCACCCCAATCCCCCCAAAAACTATTAAAATAAAAATTTGGAGAGGTTGGGTTTGATTGGAGAGATTAATACCAGAATTTGGGAGCAAAGGCAGGCAGATCTCTATGAGTTTAAGGCCAGTTGGCTTTACATTGATAGCCCCAGGCCAGCCAGGGCTACAGAAAGACTTTATCTAAAAAAAAAAAAATCCACTTGGTGGTGACATGCACCCTTAATGCCAGCACACGGAAGGCAGAGGCAGGCGGATCTCTGAGTTTGAGGCCAGCCTGGTCTAAAGAGTGAGTTCTAGGACAGCCAGGGCTACACACAGAGACCTTGTCTCAAAAAACAAAACAACAACAATAAAAATAATGCAAAAACAATACCAATGCAACAGCAAAAACAATAATAATGAAGACAAGATGTGGCATTTACATTCATAATCTTAGCACTCTATGAGACTTGGGCAGGAGACTATTAAGTTGGAGGCCAGTCCGGAGCTGCATTGTAAGACAGTGTCTAAAGAAAAGAGCAGAAGAGATGGTTCTTCAGTTAAGAATGCTTGCTGCTCTTCAGGGGACTGGAGTTACATTTCCAGCACAAAGATCAGGCAGCTCACAACCATCTGTGACTCCAGCTCCAACAATCTGATCCTCTGTTCTCAGCAAGCACACTCGTGTGCGTACACACCCACAGAAGCCACATAAAAATTAATCTTAAAAAAGTTAAAGATGGGGGCTGGAGAGATGGCTCAACGGTTAAGAGCACTGACTGCTCTTCCAGAGGTCCTGAGTTCAATTCCCAGCACCCACATGGCAGCTCACAACTGTCTGTAACACCAGTCCCAGGGGATCCAACACCCTCACAAAGACATACATACAGGCAAAACACCAATACAAAAAAAATATATTAAAAATTTTAAAGACAGTGCACATCTTTAATCCCAGTACTCCAGTGGCAGGAGGACCTCGGTGAATTCAAGGTCAAGTTCTGGCCAGTATGGCTGCACGGTGAGACACTGTTTAAAAATAGCTGTATTCTAAAAAGAAAAGATGAGTAGGAGCCAAAGACGGTGTGAGGTGACTCCGGGCAAGTCCTCAGCATGCTGTGGACTCCCTCCTCTTTGTGTATTAGGAGAAGGAGCTGTACTTTGCCTCGTTCACCTCACTCTACAGGGCAGTAGAATGGGGAAAGGAACTTGGGAAGACTAATCAACAATTGTAGCGATCAGCGTGGGGTACCACTTCCCAGACCACACTTCAGAGCCGAGGCATTTGTTCCTAAGCTGTGGGCTGCTGAGGACACATGGCTGGCTGATGGTTGGCTGGTGGTTGTTAAGGGCCTTGGTTTTTCTTGCACATGATCATCTTCCCTTACTTGTTACAGAAACATTCATTAATAACCCTTTGGTATACATATCTCAGTGTCTCAGAGTCCATTTCCTGGAGTATTCATCCTATATAACAACACTATAGTATTTTCTTATTTAATTTTGAAACAGAATCTCCTCTATCCCAGGCTAGCCTGAAGCTCACAATGTAGCCAAAGATAACCTTGCCTTTACTCCCAAGTGTAGATATGTACTACCGTGTCTGGTTTTATGCAGTGCTACCAAACTCATGATTCATGCATGTCAAACACTAGCAAATGAGTCACACATCTGGCCCTAATACTACAGTACTTTTTTTCCTTCCTTGTGTGTGTGTGTTATGTGTACTTACGTGTGTGGGCACTTGCGTTTGTCAGTGGGAAGGCACATGTGTGTGCATGTGGAGGCCAGAGGTTGACAGCCACGCAGGTCTTCTTCGCTCACTGTCTGTGCTGTGGATTCAGGTGGGTCTCTCAGTTGAACCCAGTGCATCTTAGTCTGGCCATCTAGACATCCAGCTCATCCCAGAGAACGCCCATCTCCTACTTAGCTAACACTGGGCTCACAGGCCGGTCCCCATGCCTAGCCAGCTTTTATAGGGTGCAGGAGAGCTCTGACTCTAGTCCTCAGGCTTATGTGGCAAGTACTTTTACCCACGGAGCCATCTATGACCACACACTACAGTGATTATTTTTTAGAATTTCAGGCACACTTATTTAAATTGTATCTCCAACAGCACATGCTTTACTGTCCAGTAACAGTTAAAAAGTTTATCACGGACGTAGAACTCTCCAGGTGACATAACAATGTCTAGAAGGCTTGAATTCTGTTAGAACCATTGTCATTCTGCCCTGGCCACGTGGTTCAGCTGCTGAGCACACTGCACTAATCAGGTCAAGGACATGGGTGGATTTCACTCTGGTTAACTCATGTGCCTTCTTCATTACAAAGCCACAGTTTTTCCCGACTCTGGATAATGTACTGCAAATGTGAGCTGTTAGTCATAAGGTATTTATATATGGGATTGAAGGAATGCCTGGTATTAATAGCCTTGAGACTGCCAGGCTCTTACCCTACTGCTGATGCTGTACTACACTAGCCACTATGATCTTCCTGTTGCTAAGTAACAATACTCTGGGGAGGGGTCCAGGATGAACTCATTTAACGCTAAATCCTGCTTGTCTTTGGTAGGATCCTATTTTGTATGTAAATACAAGAGTCTAGCTCTGACAGGAAATCCGAGTGCCGCCCTCTGCTGCTCCTGTAGCTTCCCTAAGCTTACATCTCTTCCTTGATGTCTAGACAACAGGATGGTGACCATTTACAAGACAACTTCCTCCCTTTTCTTATACAAGACTACACAGTCCTAAAGCAGGAAGCTGTTTCTCTCTCTCTCTCTCTCTCTCTCTCTCTCTCTCTCTCTCTCTCTCTCTCTCTCTCTCTGTATGTGTTCGAATGTCTTTTCATTTCTTTGCTCAACCTATAGCAAGCAACACACCAGCTCAGGTACACAGGCCGTAACTAAAAGAAAGAAGGTTTACCCAGTATCTCTCTTTTTCCGGGCCTGGATGGGGCAAATCTCACGTCAGCATCTCTAAAAGCAAGCACACTGATAGAAAACTGGCTGCAGCTCCGTTGCCCTTACCTGTCACATAATTTCACAAAGTCAGGTCAATCCTACTAAAGTCTATGTAAACCTGTCAAAATACCAAAAACCCATACAAAACAAAACAAACAAACAAACAAAAAAACAACAAAAAACTTGTGGTCCTGATGGCCAGCCACATGGATTTCTGAATAGTCTGCTTTTCTTCAAAACCTTTTTCACCTATTTCCTTTCTGAGAACTGCCTTGGAGATTCCAGTTCTCTTCCCTTATTTCCCTCCAAGAGGTTCATTTTTATTTTTTAATTACGTGCACGTGTGCATGTGAATGCGCATGCCCATGAAGGTCAGAAGAGGACGTGGGATGCCCCGGGGCTGGAGCTACAGGTGCTTGTGAGCCACCTGACCCAGTGTTGGGAGCTGATCTCTTCAAGAGCAGGACATAATTTTCGCAGCTGAGCCCCTTCTCCAGCCCAGCTCATTAGGAATGGCTATGAGCCACCATGTGGCTGCTGGGAATTGAACTCAGGACCTTTGGAAGAGCAGGCAGTGCTCTTAACCACTGAGCCATCTCTCCAGCCCTCTTTCTCCTACTCTTAAGTGTTTTAGATTTAATTCAATGAGTACGTGCTGGAGCCTCGCTGTATGGTGAGCTTGTGTAGAATATTGCTGGCCTTCAGTCTTCAGGAGACAGCCAGAGCCTGAGGCATGCTATGGAGGGTAAGGACAGGGTATTGCCCAAGCACAGGGACACCTAACCCCAGTGGACTGGGGAGAGGAGGGAAATACCTGGCATGTGATCCTCATGGTGTGTGTGTAGAGCGTGTGTGGGGTGGGGTGTGTGTATGTATGTGTGTATGTGTATGGTGTGTGTGTGGTGTGTGTACGTGTGCACGCACACCAGTGCAAGTGTCTGTACAAAGGCAAAAAGCCAGCCTCAACTATTGTCCCTCCGCAGCCATCCACTTTGTTTCCTGAGACAGGGTCTTTCATAGGAACCTGGGCTCACCAATTGGGCTGGAGGGCCAGTGAGCCCCAAGGATTCTCCCATCTCTGCCTCTCCAGTGTTGGGAGAGGCCAACCATCTTGTCTAGCTGGAATTTAGGTTCTCATGCTTGCAAGGCTAGTTCTTTCCCCACTGAGCTCTTTGCCCAGTCCGCCTCTTGTTTTTCTGTTAGGAATAAGGAGATTGCTTGTAAGGCCTCCCTATGGGATTTGCAAGTCCCATCTGGACTGGGAGCCCTGAGTGGGGAGAGGAATGTGGAGAATTCTTAGTCTATAGAGCATGGGCAGCTCGTGGGTTGAGCTTAGGGCTGGGTCCTTGGAGAGGAGTGTGTGTCTGAAACAGTTGGGGGAAACGGCAGGTGCTGCAGGGAGGGACCGGAGGGATCGGGATCGCCCGGAGAGGAAGGTAGCATTGGGGGCAGACTGGCTCCACCGACCGACCGCCGCAGACAGAACCCAGGGAGCCCAATGAGGCCTCTCACAGCCTCTGCTGCTCAGGCTCACATCCTCATCTGGGATGTGCGCTCTACTGGGGCCTCTGGAGCCAGTCCCAATCTGTTTCCTTCTATTCTTTGACAGGAAGCTCCTGGAGGGCCAGCCCCGCCCCCCCACCTCAGCCCAGCACTCCCTCTCTCTTCTCCACTATGGACAGAGAAGGCACTGAGAAGCCCGCCGGCTACACGCCCAGCTGATATGGGGACCAACAGAGCCATGAGCCTGGGTTCAGCAATCCTTGGTTTACTCCTGCTCCAAGGTAAGAGGCGCTGGCCACTTTTCTCCAGCAAGTCTTCCCTCCCCCCACATAGGTTCCCATCCAGGGAAATTCCAGAACCTTTCCATAAAGGGGATCAGCTGGCCTGGAGGATGGGAGTCACCGCCCTGGTAAAACAGATGCTGTTAGGCTCAGTTATGGTGTTTTCTAGGGTTCCCCATAGAGTCTGGCCCCCTAAAGGTGGGAAATGGCTGTCTTGAAGCATGACAGAACCTGGAAAATTCCTCCTGAGGGTACACAGGCAGAAGAAGCCTGTGGCTGCCCTGGCCTGCAAAGACTCCTGACTGAGCCGGTCACCATTGTCACTCTTCTAAAGGTTCTAGGCCTATGGTCTGCGCCTTGGACTTAAAGGTCACCTTCTCTTTTATTCTTTCCTGTGAAGAATTACAACCTGTGAATTTGAAATGCTGACTTTAATCTCAAGTCACAGCAAGAGGGCTTCTGGTTAGACACAAAGAACTGCTTACCAAGGAGGGGACACACAACACAGGGGCTGGATGAGATGGCCTCCCGCAAGGTGCCTGAAATAAAACCTCCCTGATGTGGCTGGCACTCATGAGTGGGGCCTTGGAGCAGGATCCTCTGATTAGGGAGTCATTGCTGAGAACCCTGAGAAGTCCGGGATACTCTGACTCACAGGGCAGCACTTCCCTTTGTCACACAGCCCCCAACCCCAGCCCACTGCTCCAAGCCTGCTTAGGTGAAAGGGTCTGTGTTCCAGAAAACACTGCCTCCTGCCAAAAAGTGAGACATTTCTTTAGAAGTCCACGGGCTGGGGGCAATGCTGACGCCCCTCCCTGTCCACAGGATAGAGTCAGAGGTTAATCCTGGGGACCTGAGGGATCCCAAAGGCCTGAACTCCCCCAGCCACGTTAATTCCTAACTTGCCCAAGCTCTCCATCCAGGAGCTCATAGCACGTGTCTGCTTCATTTTGGCGACTGAGGAACTGTGTGGAACAGACTCAGCCGACAGGGGTCTTGACTGTGGAGAGAGTCAGCCAGTCTCTAGATTTGGAAAAATCAAGAGAAGGGGGCAAATTTTAAAATGTCTAGCACTGATTGGGCTGTCGGAATCTGCGTGTTTTATATGTATTTTCTCCCTCAACCCATCTGTTTATGAGGTGCTCTGTCTGTCTCTCTGTCTGTCTCGCTCTCCCCCGTGTGTGGTGTGATCCTGAGGATCCAGTTAATTTTGGGCTTAGACAGAATTACACCTCTAGCCTCTCACACTTCAGAGAATTCAGGTCCATCTCAGACAGTGAGTGAAGCCAGAACCCACCACTTTTTTGTTTTTCTTTGCTCTGCTGGGGATTGATCTGAGGGTCTCACACAGGCTAGGTACGTGCTCGATCACTGAGTTACATCCCATGGTTTTCAACACTAAACTGCTGCTTAGGAAAACAGGGTGTGGGGGGGGGGCATGGGCAGGATTAAACTGGAAGGAAATGAAGGAAGTGGAGGTCAGGAAAGTGAGAAACTCCTGTGGCCATGGTGCTGTGTCTGTTGCCCCTTGGTTAAAGGCGCTGCCCTTACAGAAACACACACCCCTTAAGCCTCCTCTGCCCGCAGAATAGTCTTCTGAGGTGACAATCGGGAGGAGTGGGATAGGAGGCAGGAGTACAGACCTTTAAGTTTTGATGCCTGTGCCTTGGGAACGCCTCAAAAACAGGTAGATCATTTTCTAAATAGGTTCAGAAAGACAGGTGCCCTCTGACTTCCACTCCTCCCAGAGCTAAGAGGATTCATAAGACGTGCTTGAACCGGATCATAAGACTTTGGATGTTCAGGCTCATCCCTTAGGAAGGATTCTCTTTAGCTTGGGGTTCCTATAATATTTACTTCCTTCTGGAACCTCTACCCATAAAGAAACAGGGGATGTGGGAGATCTTGACCTGGAAAAACACATCTCAGGGCTGGGGAAGCTTTGGCTTGGAAGCAGTTCCACACTATCCAAGTGATAGCTGTGTGGAGGAAGGTAGTGGCTTAAGAAAAACAAACAGACCAGCAGGCCGCCATAACCTGGGGTGGGCCCCAGCTGCCTCAGTTCATCCGGGGCCTGGGCCAGCCTGCAGCCTCAATCCAGCTTGTGCGGAGGGAGCGGCTCCAGATGGGTGGTTCCATTTCCCCGTGTTGTTTTCCTTTCACATTGTTCATAGGTTTCAAGAATGATTTCATTGTGGAAAGTGAGCAAACATGAGCTGACCTTCCAGCATCCACACACACACACATAAACGCATACACACGTCTACGCAGAGGCCCACAGACACACATGTGCACAAACAGAATGGCTAACAAGGGCTCCAACTACAGCTGTGGCTGGTAACCACCTCCTTCCTAAGTTTGGCTGAGAACAACCATTTCTTAACTTGTCTCTCTGCCTGTGAGAGTGAACCAGCCACTTCTTTCAGCGCTTCCTCCCCTCCTGGACGTACCTCAGAATCTGTTTCCTGTGTAGGCCTCTACCTCCGGTGGGGGAGGAGAGAGACAGAGAGAGAGAGAGAGAGAGAGAGAGAGAGAGAGAGACAGAGAGAGAGACAGAGAGAGAGACAGAGAGAGAGAGAGAAAGAGAGAGAGAGAGACAGAGAGAGAGACAGAGAGAGAGAGAGAGACAGACAGACAGACAGAGACAGAGAGACAGAGACAGAGAGAAACCCAAAATAAATCTTAAGTCCCACCCCATTTCATTCACCTTCCCCTCTCCTCCCCTTGGAGTGGGTCCAAAAAACGACAGTCTTCCCAGGGGTAAGTAAATGAGCCAGTAGTGGCATAGGCCCAGAGACCTGGAATTCTGGGTATTTGTCCAGACATGTCGCTAGTTTAAATAACCATCCCCTAACCTTGTGTCAGGTTGGTGGGATACCTATAGAGGATTGAAGACACAGTAAAAGACTCTAGGACCCTGAACCATAAGGTGGCCAAGTGTGCTCCCCTTCTACCATGGGGGTTTTAGACAGCCAGAAGACCCAGTTTCCCTCGTGAGCTCTGCTTGGCAGAGTTACTAAGGTAGTCTACATATTTGGTTTGATTGTTTTGAGACAGGTAGATCAGGCTGGCCTTGAACTCGCAGCCATCTGCCTACCTCTGCCTCCGGAGTGCTGAGAGCAAAGGCGTGCGCCACCATGCCCAGTCTGTGTATTTTTGCTTCTCTCACAGGCTACAGCTCTCAGTCCACGACGACTCAGACCTCCCCAGGTAAGGTTCGTGGTCTACTCCAGCATTTGTGCCGAAGGATTTAGAAAGGTATTAGACAGGGAGTGCTGGACTGTTTTTCTTTTCTTTTTGGTTTTTCAAGACAGGGTTTATTATGTAGCCCTGCCTGCCCTGGAACTCTGTCTGTACACCAGGTCAACCTCAAACTCAGAGAGCGGCCTGCCTCTGCCCCCAGGTGCTGGGACTGAAGGCCGTGTGTACCACTACCTCTTGGTCTGTTTCTCACTGAATACAAGTGATGTGAGCTTGGGCCAGAGGTCTCTGGGGTTCACTTCTCCAGCCTAGTCTAACATAGCTTGCAGAGGGAAGAGATGAATAGTCAGAGGCAGAGGAGGGGAGGAAAAGAGACAAAAAAACCCAAAGCAAAACCTAGCTTCAGAGAGGGAAAGAAGGGCACAGAATGGTTGGAGAGCAGCGTAGCAGACCCCTCAAATGATGTGTTTCAGGGCTCTTCAGGAGTCTGAGCCCCTAGCCAGTTTCTCTCAGCTCAGGTGAGTGAGTGAGTGTGGCCTCTGAGAAGGCCAGCTCTAACCACCCATGCCATCCCCAGCCATTTAGACCTCCTTGGAGCTTGGGGGTTCTCAGATGGGCAAAGGGTATGACATCACCAGACCTGCCCCACTTCCTCTCCCCATCTCCTTCTGTTCTTGCAGGAGACCAACCTTCCTCAGGGCCCGGCAGTTCAAGGCTTCTGCTTAGCACCACTTCCCCAGGTACTCCGCTGCCAGGACTATAAATGGTGCCCAGAGAGGGCCCAGGAAGAACTTGGCCATGTCAGCTCTGCAGGAGAATGTAGACTTGTAGCAGAAGGAACAGGGCCTTACACTGGTGATACCAAAATAGGGAAGCAAAAGCAGGTGTCACAGGACCCGTGCAAACATCACCCGCATCCGACATCAGCTCTGGAGGACCCTCCCCACAGGCAGTGGCCTCAAGATCTGAACCTGTGAAGGAGTGAGATGAGCAAATGGAGGTTGTGGGGTGGAAGGTGGGGAAGATGGGTTCCAAGATGAGCAAGCTGCAAAGACCAAGGTTCAGAGGTGAGCC